TTCATTCGATAAGAAACATACTTTAAGCAGATTGACTGAGATATCGACACCTGTTGAGATTAAAGCACTTAGATTAAGCAAACGGAGCAATACTCTCGCGAAAACAAGTAAAGATCTTGGAAATTCAAGTCATTCATTGTGAATCTCCAACAATTGATTTTTAAAAACCCAGCCAAACTAACTATCCAAGCCAAATATAACGGAATTAGGGAAAAACAGCAAAGAAACCTGCTACTACTACTTCAACACACTGAGAACTCATTATGAACTAGCCCATGAGAGATAGTACAACATTCAAAATATGTAAAGTGACCACCCAGTGCATTGGGTCAATTTAACATCTTACCGTTTATTGCTGAACTTGAGTAGATGGGTTCTGAAGTACCCTCCATAAGTGTGACAGGTGAGAAAAATAGGTACAATTGTGCATATTTCTAGCACTTCCACCTGACAGAACTGAATCAAACGCACGCCTCTTTATTAGGGGAAAGAAACGTCACCCTTAGGTCAAGAAATAAAGTAAGTGTTTTGGTCCAGAGAATACCGAGAAATAAAGATGTGATTGATGGATCTTGGTCCAGAACCAAGCTCCATTCAACTTCCGAAATACCTATAAACTATAGGGTCTTCGGCACTATAAATACCTAAGCTGAATTTCGTTTGATTATCCATAAACTAGAAAGATTAGTAACGTAGGTCAATCTTATTCTCAAACACCAGCGTCCTATGAAATCTGACTAATAACTCACTATTTCTGTATCTTAACTCTTTCAGACAAACCGCCAAGTCTTGCTGTTAGCCTTCCCAAAAATGGTGAGTGTTGGTTGGTGGATCGATATTCACATCTCTGGCAGCTGTTATTCTGTTGAAATATTTCTTTAGCGATATGCTTAGTGTTTCACTTTTCTGTGAAGGGACTGATAAGAGTTTATTCTGACAAGAACTACCGGAAATCAGTTTGCATCAATCTCTTCACATGCGGAAGTCGGAAACTACCTACCGATGATAAGTCGTTGTCATATAATAGCAGACCAAGCTTTATGAGAAGCACCAGGCTGGAATAAATATTTGGTTACCTGTTGCCTATATGATGCATTAAATCACCATCCCTTTAGAACCAGACACACTGATAAACGAAATGATTCGAGTAAACACAGGCAGTTGGAAGAGAACCGCTGTCATCTACCAATCTTGTCTAATGATAGCTTCCGGTTATATGATTTACTGTTGACTTAATATCAGCAGATACTATGTGAAATAATATATTTATTTGCAGACAACAATAAGGTACCACCATAGCAAAATTTTAGGGTAATCACTATTATCGACTAGTTTGCATATGGTGTCTGAGTGGTTTTTCCCTTTAAATCAGCGTCCCGACCGATAGCTGCCACCTTGAAGTGGTAGTCGGGCATATTATGGCAGTTATAAAGTAGAAAAGATTTTTAGGTTTTAGTAGAGGTATTAGGACTGTAAAAAAACCCTTCACTATCCGTTTTACCCAAAAGATTACCTCCTTTCGAGGTTTTATAGACAGAAAGTCAAGTAGATCAACCAGCCTTAGTGTAATGGTTAGGGTTTTTTTATTTCCTTCACGTTCCCAGTGGAACATAGGGCTTCAAGCCTCCAGCTTGAAGTTTCTGTAGCAGTGTCCATTTTTACAGGATGAGGTTGCTAGACTCATGCCCAACCTTCCCTCTTTATCAGTTTTATTACTGAATAAGTGAGGTAAAGGAGTGCGTCGGCCGGGAATCGAACCCCGGACCATGTGCATGGTCGGCGAGCATGCTAACCTCAGTGCCACCGACGCACATGGTGAAAAGCATACTTTAAAAGAAAATTCTTGGAGCTAAAGAACTACGGCAGGAATTCTTCATGTGCACTTCAGCATCAGTTATAGGCAGTAAAGTTTCATATTGGTTTTACACATCATAAAAGCCAGCAATTTAACTTCAATAGCTGACTTTACTTTTGTCGTTATACTGCTTCCTGACCGATAGCTGCTATCTTGACGTGATGGTCGAGCTCGCACATCGCAGTGACCCAACAAGCTACACTCGCTGGAACTATTGTTCCTGCAGGTCCCACCATGCTAGGAAGGTTGTTAGGACAGCGATTAGACTATAAGCAGTTACCGGCTTAGTGTAAGAATTATTTTACACTATGCTAGGGGTCTGTGGGCGAAGTCGTACAGCTGGGGAACAAGGATTTAACAGCAGTGAGGTGTTTCCCTCAGATGACCCCAACAATTGTACATCCCGACTTACCTTAAGGTGATCTGTAACCGGCGGCAAGTTTACTAATACGGAACCGAACTAAGAAACCAGTTCATACAGGCCGTGTGTGACCGGCTGATTTCAAGCAGTTGTCCCCTGGTCTCTGTGGTCACGTAACACTAACCCTCTTTGTTTTCAGGTAGCCGAAGGTTCAACCAACTTCCACGTGTGAGCAGCCGAGAAGTAACAACCACCCACACACTTCCGAAAGCACACAAAGCCTCCCCAAGCATCGTTTTCCGTTACCCATATCACCTTTATCATCTTATTTTCCAACTACAGACAGAACTGAGTCGTCGTTTAAGTTAAAAACATCAGCTAATGTAGTTGCGTTTGAACATCATACTACAGATTCAGCACAAATTTGTGATGACCGGAGATTTAGTGATAAGTTTTTATACACTACGAATATTTCCTTAGGATGAACATTTGTTAATCACCGAATAGTGAGGACAACTCGAGACAAGTGCATGAGATGTAATATTAGTAATAAAAGGTGGTCAAGACAAAATAAAGTCACATGATAATCTCCTGATATTGATATGCAGCCAGATATGTGTGGGTGACTTATAGCGTGGATGCTAGAACCGTGAAAGTTGGTACCTCATGGAAGCACCCATACACGAAAAACGTCTACACTTTTCTAGATTGGTTGAAGCCATAGGAAATACTGCAAATGACACCCTCCAGATGAGATGTGCTTTGATGGCTGTATTCAGAAGACTTATCACAACATACGGTGTAACTATACATAGAGATCTCAACCGTCTGAAAAACGACAGTACAAATTTTAACTTCGCCACTAAGGGAGAAAGCAATGTAAGAATAACTTTTCGTCATAAGACGCTTATCCAGCCAAAAATAAATACTTGCTTTTACTCTTCAACGAAGGAACTCTTAGTAGGGTGGATGATTTCCATTTATTGTTGGATTTGGTCAGGATAAACAGTGATACCAGACTACACAGATCTACTTCAGTTTTTTACAGCTCCTATGGGATGATGAGATGCAAAGAAAGTAATAACTTAGTCTTAACAAAGCTGTAGTAACAGCTGGAAATATACTCAACTGAGAATCCCTTGTGCACTGTCTATTTTACTTTTTACTTGTAAACACTGCTAGCAATAATTCGAACGCAGTAGAATGATGCTATCCGGAGTAGGACTAGGTTAGAAAAGAGTTGGAGGGGGTGACTAGATCAAAACATGAGATCTGTATGTAGGGTTACCTGCAACACAATAATCAGTGGTTAGAGATCGTTGATGACAAAAACTAGTACAAGTGCATCCAATCCCTATTACGTTCCAACTTCTGAAAGGCTTAATTATTGTCTCCGTTGCAGTCATGTTTGTCGATTGCAGTAATACATTATTCATATTTCCTTGCTTATTGCTTTTTCTAAATGTGGTAACTTGAACGTGTGCTTCTGTGCTAAGTTCTACGTCAATCCGTTAGCCAGTAAGGTATACCACCATGATTATCACAATCTTCAGTATCAGGCATTTTAGATCTCTGGAGTGAAGCTATGTCAACATTGAAATTACGACATTTTGAGACAAGCAACACATAGGACTCTCTATTTTGAGCTTTATCACTAGGTACCGGGGTCAAAATACTTTTATCATTACACCTTTTTCCACTTTTTTTACAAAATCGGAATGAGTCCTTATAGTGAACGGGATCCAGTACAGCCTCTACTCAACATCATATCCTCTCGACAGTAAGTTGAAGAGCACATCTAGATTTGTGAAATTTACTAGCCGAAGGCATCAAAGTACTTTGTTTGGCTGGTAGCTCATCACATAGTGATACTGACTCGTATTTGTCATACGGACGAAGACAGATTTTATGAATACATCTTTTTCGAGGACCAAATTTGTGTTTGTCACAGCAAGATGAGCAAGCTCCACAATCTGCTTTCCTGCAGACAGAGCATATGCAGTGATATGTGCATGAGGAGGCAATCAGTTTTTGCCTTTAGGCACATCTTCGTATTATTTGATCGGGACAAATCCCTGCATATCCATGGAAGCAACTATCTGAGGAACTATGGAAGCCATTGTTGTTATCTATCTTGTGAACCACAGTCCTTAAACTTGTCAAAAAATTGACTAGACAAACCTTTAAACTTCGGCGGGTGTAATACTAAACACTTTTCCCTGCATTGAAAACTATGAATCCCAGTCCCTGAGTTATGCAAAGAAGTGTCACACACCACGTACCCACATACTCTCCACAAGGAGATGGAGGTTTCAATGCGGTTGAGGATTTATCAGTGCCCACATTACGGAAGTAATGCTCTTCAATGCATTGATATCTAGAAGTAGCTTAGAGATAGGCTCTTCTTCTAGATCGGTAGTTCTTTCCATCTGCATCAAGACAAAAGAGCTGTTGTTAGACAACATATCCTGTGAATCTTGTAAACTACTATATCAGACCGGAACATAAGGTAACCAACAGATTCTTACGTTCTCGTTAGGAAAGTCACTTCCGTAATCCCTCCATTTACATTTAACATTTCCAAGAAACATCCAGTCAGAACCACTGTCATTACGTCAAAATAGAACATGTACTAAGTTTATAAACTACTCAGGGATTAAAGACTGAAACAGTTGCTTAAAAAGTTCACATTATCTATCCAGTAAAATAAAAAAACACTATCATTTATATACGGCAGAATTAGAACGCATAGAGAAACGGATGAAAACAACAACGAGTACCTACCATCATGACTGAACCGTCCAAAATGCCGTGAAGTAATCCCGTCAATCTCACTGGGAACGGCTGGAATACGATGGTCACCCCTACGCATTTTGCTACCCATAGGGACTGAACTTGTTGAATGCTGTGGTAGAAATGATTGTGGGACAGTTTCTGAATATGGTCTTGGGGAGAAATCCAGGGGGACTTCAAACTGTTCATCATCAAAATCAGTATACGACTGCATATGAGGGGATGCATCCACAGGAGTAGATTGAACAGTTTGTTGCTTACGGCGTCTAGCACCAACACTTGGTGAAGAATCTGACGGATCTCTACTAAGAGACGAACTGGCACCAACACATTGTCGTAGCCTACATTTTTGACGCATTTTATTTGGCCCACCGAATTTTCGTCTGTCCCGACAGTACTCACACTGTCCACAGTCTTCTTGTAAGGTACATCCGGCACACTTGCCACAGGGACGTGGACGAGGAGACACAGATACCTTCTTAGATGAAACTGCTCGAGGAACTACATCATCTTCGTCAAGTGTAGATTGGTCTTCACGTGACCAGTAACCACGATTATAATGACCAGGATGAAGTGACTCTGATACAGCAGGTGAATTCGTTGTACTAGCTGCGTTTACACTAGACGAACTAGATTTTCGCAAATCCCTGCCTGACGATTGTGATGAGCGCTCTTCTAAGGTTTTGCGATCGGTAATTTCTGTAGTTTTATTAAAATGCTAAATATATCACCTACCTGAACTAGATACTAAGGCATCTGGGGAACCGCGTTTACCCCTAACAAATTTGGTCGGGGAAGGTAGCTCTCCAGAGCTGCCAAAACTATTATTAGGGCTCGAGTTCTGACGGTTTTGTTTCGGACGCTGACTCCTGGTGTTCTTATACTCAATTTCTAGTGAAGGATTTTTACCTATTGAAATTATACACTGAACTTATGAACACTTACATCGACATTGAGGACAGAAGTAAGTTTTTATTTGTTCTGCTTGCTTTGGAGTGACATTAATACAGTCACCGTGATACCACTCTTCGCATTGGTCACAGGCTCTATAGAAACGACATTAACAGCACTAGCATCACTTACATCATAAACCTTTCAATATCCGATGACCTACAGACACAGTAAACCTCGGTGGTTTGCTCGTCAGCATCTTCACTGACCGATTTTTTCTTGCTAGAACTTTTTCGCCGTTTTTGCATGGTTCATCGAGTTATTGCGTGATGATATGGCTGACATAAAACGAGTTAAGATGTGCACTTAGAACAGGATGTTTATAAGTCTCATAATCCAACGCAATATGCAAGCATAATGTAATATTATCCACACAAAACCATGAAAACACTAAAAATTCAAGTATCCGCCAAAATTTTGAATTGCGCGCCCGTAATGGTTGACGTTACAATAGGTTGGAAAAACAAAGAATTTTGTGAAATCACTTATATTGTGCAACTACATGCTTTTCTCTTTCAGAAACAAATGGCATGTCATTTTTATTGTAAATACGGGTATTTCGTTCCTTTCTTCTTTCTTTTGCTCTAATTATGGTATGTTCTTTGTTTGCTGCATGTATTGATTTAGGCAAGTGACGATGTTTCAGGATTTTACGTACTTCTGGGTGATCTTTGAATTTTTCACGCAGAGATTCGTAAGTTTGCAAGGATGCTTTTTGTCTTGGCTGTATCTAAAGGATGAGGAGTTTAGAAAATATCAGGAGATTCATTACCGGTCCAATTATTTCACTGGCGTGAGCCTTCCACAGACGTACATTCTGGTCCGTTGATGACGAGAGAACAAACTTAGCATCCAATGTGAATCTCACATCAAGTACTCGTTTCATACGCCTTGTATGATAAACATCGTAAGATTCTGTAGAATCACACTGCCACAGTCGGATCTGTAAAGACATAAACTATAAAACATCATATTTTACCGATGAGTCATAACTTCCAGTTACAAATTCTCTTCCTGTGGGTGAATAATCCACACCAAGTACAGCATTAACATGCCCCCGGTATACTCTACGAGGAAATTTGAAGTAACGGTTATCAAATGTATAAACATTGTAATCCTCTGACGCAGCAGTGAAAATGAACGGCTCCATTGGATTCCAGGAAAATGAGTTCAGTTTAAGTTCCATTTTAACCTAAAACATAGATAAGTCAAAGATTTTAATTCCGCTTCATAGACGGAACAACACATAAGCTTTAAAAACTATTCTATTAATATCTAAGGCTTTAGGAATTATAAAAGCCTGTTAGTATAATGCTAAATACTTTTAAATGTGTCTAGACAAAGAAATTGTGGTAAAATGCAACTAAAATATAAACAGGTGTATTTTATTTGTCTCCCTTATGACTATCTAAATGCTGTACAACGTACTAACCGAAACTGAAATTCCTACATTGACTGAACAACTACATATATACCGGAATATTGTCAGACAAATAGCTGGAACTTAGGTATCCATTAGTATGAGAGAAGCACAGAAAAATACTACTAGGTCTCGAGTTCAAAACATAGCAAAATGACTTACTACTGATCATAAATAAGTATGATTTGAATCATTGCATGAATGATGTTAACAGTGGAATGCAGGATGTGCATTTCGTCCTATTTATTACTCATCGAATGAATGTGTCTGCACCCACACTAACTGATGGTGCTCCCAATACAGCACCCTAGTTATATCCCTCATAATTGTAAATGATGAGATACTTTGATAATAAACATGTGCACAATTCCACTTCATAGACATATACTAAGTAGTTTTTTATAATTTAGACTTGATAGGTAGTTAAAGCAAGCTCTACAATCGCATAGAACAATATAACTCTCCAGCGTTGTACAGAAGTTTCAAAAATCTTAAGAAAAGAAGGAGAAACTTTGAACACATAAGAGCCGTAGTGTAAAACTGGGTATCATTTTTTATTATAGCTTGATTGCCCACCGTATTTTTGATTCAAGTATGGAATTTTCAGCATGTGATATCGGTAACCCATATTTTGCATGCCAACCGTTGATATTAGGTGTGCGTCGGCCGGGGATCGAACCCTAGACCATGTGCATGGCCGGCGAGCGTCCTAACCACTGTCCCACCGACGCAAAATGTGCAACGTTCAGTAGGCCGTCACCGTGAGTAACTCAAGTTTCCTGATTTCAATCCATAATTTTCATGATGTTCAATAATGCTTTCCCCAGAAGGTTTTAACACTTAGTTTCTATCCCACTAAAGGAAAAATTAGATGAGAATAAATTTATTATGCATTTTTCAGGCTGTCAATCTAGTCTTAAAGAAATGTCATTTCTTTTGAATTTACTAAGAATATGCGCCTCTTTATGAGGTTAAACGTCTGCTTTTGAGGTGATCCCAAAACTAAGTTTATGAGTGACATAATTATTTGTCATCAAATTAAACGGTAATATTCAGGCAATATGTTATGAGTGCGTTGGTGGCACATTGGTTAGGACTCTCGCCGACCATGCACATGTTCCGGGGATCGAGCCCTCACCGAAACACACCTGATATCTATGGTCGGCCTGCGAAATTTGGGCTACCGATATCCATGCTGAAAATTCCATACTTGTACCAAAAATACAGTGTGGAAACAAGCTGTAATCAAAAATAAAAAAATAAAAACTAGGTATAAGTGTGTAACAATCCAAGCTGTCACATAGTAAGTAGGAAGTAAAGAAGTGAATGACAAGAAAAGAGAAAAACACAATGAACATAGGCTGTATAATAAGGAGGCAAGATAATAGATGAATGGATTGCCTCGAGTATGATACATCTGAAAAAGGTTACTTCATTCACTTATCATCTAGGGAGCATTGTCTCTCAACTACAGGCAGTTGGAACGGACGAGGATGTCCAATCGAGCGAGAATCGGGAAGGCGAGAAACACACACATTCGTCAACCTGCAATCAATCTGGAAATCTTCGTCACTCTACTCACCATCAACAACAAAATTCAGTCGGATTTTCAATACAAACAACGTCAAGTTAGTCAGCTCTTCTATACGAATCAGAAACTTGGCGGGCTGGCGGGTGGGTCACAAAGAATATTTCCAACAGCCTGTTCCAGACCTTTATCAACAACAACCGTCTTCGCTCTATACTGAAGATCAATCAGATGACCGGGCAGGAAAGAATCACCACCAACAAGAAGCTATGGGAACAAACAACAAGAACCAATCGCCAACCAACAAATATGCAGGAGAAAGTGAAGAGATGGATTGGACACTCGCTGAAGTGGCCGCCGCTGGGTGACATCACGCGTCAGGCCATCACTGGAGTGGAACCTGAAAAGGAAGCGGCGAGTGGGACGTCAGTGCAAGGGTGACATGGAGGAGATCGTGTGAATAGGAGGGGTTGAAACAGTATGGACTAACATGGATGCAGGTGAAAAGTACAGCACAGCAGAAGACAGAAGCAAGCAAGTGGAGAAGTGCAGTTGAAGCCGTATCTTCCACTAGGAACCCAAGGGAACAATAATAATAATAGCTTAAAGATATGGAGTAAAGTGATGGAGCGTGTTGACCACTTCACTTATTTGGGAAGTTGCATCAGCCCTACCAGTGGGTTAATCGCTGACGAAATCTCAGCACGCATACAAAAGCACTGTGTGCCATTCTCTAGATTATGTCATCTCTGACATAGGCGTTATATCCGGCTATCTATCAAAGAACGTGTGTACTGCGCAGCAGTAGTGGCAGTGTAGGCTTATTGATTTTCGTCCTTAGGGGATGCTAAGAGCCCAGTGACTGGAGACAGTTGATGATATTGTTCAAAATCGTCCTCAGTGGTGCAAGGTGCATTTGCGAATTAAAGGAAACAGTAATAATAATAATAATAAATGGATTAATAAAGAAAGAATCTGACTTTAAACCAATGTTCCAAATCTTGATCCTCTAAACTAGGTCTAGACAATTAGATAGTATTAATGCTATTGGTATGACATAGTCTTTAGTACCTGGATGTATAATTGCAGTTTCAAAGACATTGACCAGTTATGTAATGAACATACAATGCATATACATTCCCGTCTGGCTAATATAGCCGACATATTGCTCATCAGTCTTGTACTTTCTTCTCTTGCTTCACGTGCTACACGGAATGTGGCGACTTGAACTTCCGCACATTTGTGCAAAGTTCTATGTCGAAAACAGACAGACAGACATCAGTTTAAACACTTGTTTTTCAAACAGTGGGTCCCATAGTTCGAGGTCCACTTGCTAGGCATCACACACAGTATGTGTGCTTGATAGCCTGGCATATAAAAAGACTATTTCGGGTATCTTTGAAACTATGTCTAGAGGAAATGTCATATATATATATATATATATATATATATTGGATCATAAGAATTATTAAAAAGACAGTTGCAGTGAAGAAATTTTCCTTTTCGACGAAGTCAATATCAACTAAGCTGTACATTCGTGTGTATTTATAATAAATGGATAGGAAAGTTCTAGAATAATTTCTGGTCAAGGGTCAGATTAAGAAAAAATCACAATTAGGAATCAAAACGTCATAATAATAAACAGGGGTAGGGACGGATAGTAGCATCATAATTACTGAGGAGAATGACTGACATATTGTGCAATTAAGGGTTATAAATCTAGAAATAACAAAAATAGACAGGATGTTTCAATTACGAAATCTAGTGGGATCATAACTAATGTGACGAATAATTGTTTATGCAGTTAGGGGTTGCATAAGTAGAAATAATAAAATGACAAAATATACGGGAAGTTCGGATGTGAAAATATGGTAGTGTAAATAGGGATTAAGAAAAACTTAAAAATAACACGAATAAACAGGAAGTTTGGATAAGCAAAGCAATGGGATGGTCATTATTTAAAGAATTACCTGTTTCTGATGGCCATGGTAAGGACATGGGTTGGATTACCTCTGCAAATCTCTGAGGAAAACATACCTCACCGCGAGCTTACGACTGACGTTTTCCTACAAGAAACTGTTCAACCAGAACGCGAAAGACAAGCTATCGCATTGGGCAACTTCAACGTGCATATACCAGTTTACTTACTTTTGCGGAAATCTAAAACCTCAAACCCACGTTATGTATCCAAAAGAAATACGTTCAACCCTTGTCCCTACTATGACTATTATAAACAGGTAATTCTTTAAATAATGACCACCCCATTGCCTTTCTTATCAAAACTTCCTGTTTATTCATTTTATTTTATTATTTCTACATATTTAATCCCTAATTTCATAAACAATTATTCGTCACATTAGTTATGATCCCACTGGATTTTTTTATCCAAATATCCTGTCTATTTTTGTTATTTCTACATTTCTAATCCCCGATTGCACAATATGTCAGTCATTCTTCTCAGTAATCATGATGCTACTTTGTTTGAGTTTTATCCGTCGCCATCCCCTGTTCATTATGTTATTTTTATTCCTAATTGTAATTGTATTAAGTTCACCCTTGAGAGGAAGCTATTCTGGAACTTTCCCACCCATTTATTATAAATACACACGAATGTACAGCTTAGTTGATGTTGACTTCGTCGAAAAGAAAATTTTCGTCTTTCCTGCAACCGTCTTTTTAATAATTCCTATGATCCAATATATATATATATATATATATATATATATATGCGTCGGTGGTTCACCGGTAGGAGACTTGCCATCGACGCACTTGACCCAGGGGTTCGATCCCCAGCCACTGACAAACTCCTAAACCTTGTTAAACCGGTAGTAATACTGGTAAAGAAAGAAGGTTCGGTGTGAGATTAGCAACCCTTTATCCAGTAAAAAAATAAAACCACTACTACAGAAAAACTTCAAAGCTCTAGCTTGAAGCTTTGTGTTCCACTCAGCAGGCAAAGGAATATATATATACATACATATAAATCAAGTTTATAAGAGAGTAAGTAAATAAACAAATACCTTTCGGATAGGTTCATCTTGTCTGCAGTCAATTAACATTAATGAATTATCCTTAGTTAAGGCACAAGCAATATTATGTTCAACTGGATTGAATTTTGCTGCATGAACTGGTTCTTGTCCCCAACTCCATTCACGTAATGGGACATCAAGTTTAATAGATGAATACAACAGACAGGATTCTGCACCACCGATTAAAAATTCATTTGATGAAGGATGATGATCCATACAATGAGGTGGCCATTTCATTAGCACACTACTCAAAGGTTCTTTCCAAGCTGAGGCAATATCATCATGATTCATACGCCATTGTTTCAATTGACCATCTAAGCTGCACTGAATAGTAGGGAAGAAAACAGAAAAAACAATCGGGAGAAAATGATAGATAGTACAAAACCAGAAATATAATCATAAACTAGTCGAAATATTAGGATAAGCTGACGTTTAGATATCAATATAGTAGACACTACTACCACCATGAAGTGGATTGCTCCTTCTATTGAACAAGTTAATGCTATCTAAAGGTAAATCAGGATATCGATGAACCAAGTATCTAGATTTTAATATGAGATGTATTAACAGATGGATAACGTTTCGAGCACAGTTTCTGGATGCTAATTTATCACATCAATCAATGCATACACCTTACTCTTTCCTGTTAATTTTCCTTCTAATTTCACGTGTTTGCTGCTGACTCAATAATGAGCAATCTCCAACTCCCCTCTCCCTCCCTCTCTCTCTCTCTCTCCACCTAATCACACTATTTAGAAATACTCTCATCCTATGACATCATATTGTGTGTGTGTGTGTGTGATTAGATGCAAGTGAATACATTGTAACTGGCGAGCTTTTTGGATGTAACGAACAGTAGTGATACAGTATTGAAAACTGGCAATGCCAACTGGTATCTATAGAAAACTACCACTAAATTGTAACAAGTGTATGGAGGATCAACACTCAGCACTATTCAGCATGAAAATGAAAATAAGATCCGGATTTTCAACTCCAATGTGAAGTCAGTGCTACTTACTACACGCAAGGATCAGAGATTTGACGCAGCGCAGCATCACGAAGGCCATTTCAAACAAACTACAGACCATCATAAGTAACTGTCTTCGTTCAATATTTTACTCAAGATGAGATGGCGGCCAGAAAAGATCAGCAACAGGGAGGGATCTCTGACAATGAACAAACCAACCCAGCAGGAACCAAATGTGCAAGAAATATGCAGGAAGAAATGCAGGTAGGTGGATTGGAGGTCATACTCTGAGAAAACCATCAAGTGACATCACACACCAGACCATCGTTCGAATGGAAGCGTAATGGGAAGTGGCGAGTTGGTCGACAGTGATATGGAGGAGTTCATATGAAGAGGAGATGACAGCATGTGGGCACACGTGGAGACAGATGAAAACGTCAGCAGAAAACCGAACTCAATGAAGACGTGAGGCTGAAGCCCTATGTTCCTCTAGAAACTAAAGAAAACAATAATACAATAATAATATAAATCTTTTTAAACCTAATCCTTTGTCAGCTAACAGATTAAATGCCAAATTTAATACTGAGTAACAGCTATATGGTATACAAGACCATCTGATGACATACAGTAGATTAAACAAAGTATGAATCTAAAAAGAACCCACTTTTTTTAAAGAAAATTTATACCCACCAACTTAAAGTTGCCATGACAAAAGAAGTAAAAGGTAGTTGTTCAGAAAATAAGTCGAAAATTCCACTTCTTTTTAACAAAAATTAAGATGAACGAATTAAACTATAAACTGTGTGAATTCAATGAAAACTAAAGCTTATAAGACGAACTAAGATTAACTTGATTACACGTCGGACCCTATCGAGTGTAAGTATCATTGCAATAGATTACCTAAGTGCAAACACTAGGATAGGTTAGTGATATGTATCCACATAATGTGTCTTGATTTTGACAGTCTATTATATTTTGCTATGTGTATATGGGTCGATATTCCATTATAACTGACATTATGCTTTCGTCTGTCCACTTACTAAATAAACAATGTATGAACTTATCACATGACATTACAACCAATCATGGTAAGACGTTATCTTATTGGTTCATGTGTATTAGCCATTTTCATATATACTCTTGCTTTATTATTCTTGTTTCCACGTTTCGTACATCTAAGTACCCTTCCACTCACACACTTGTGTGACATTTATTTTCCTTGTCTGGAAAATACAAGTATCATCGTAAACCTGGTGGTCTTCTGATTTCCCTCTTTCCGCGTCAGGACTATTAACTACTCGACGAGTACATAACAGTGGGAAGCCGTTTTGGCAAGTTATGAGCCACTCTTGTATTGTGTGTAAGGGCTGCAGGTGATACTAATCACTATGCCAAGGCAGACTGAAGCAGATAAATCGGCCTTTGGACCCTGAAAGCCCGATTGTCTGAAAGTTGAGTGCTTGAGCTAACGAAACACACCCCTATACTGCGGTGGAGTGTGCATAAGAAGAATAAATGACGGTATTAGAAGGCAAGTGTGTTACGTCGATTACCATCAACGATTTTGTGATACACTACCCTTTATGGAATGAATTTGTGTAATCTCTCATTTGAAATTGAATAAAATTCATAGATATTAGTATTTTTTTAAGTTAATCTTAAATAATAAAGTTTTGTATTTCCCGTTAAAAGTGGACTTGGTATGGACATATATAATTTAATCTTAAATACTTTATTATCTGATATATGTAACAAGAGGTTAAAGAGACAGAAATAGAAATAAATTCTCCACGAAAAGAAAGAAGCTGTTGGGTGAAGCATGTATCAACACATCCAATTACCATCTGCCAAGCTTTAAATACACTTCTACTATGCGTCAGTGTAGTACACACACACACACGCTGTTGTACAAGATGCCAATGTAGAATCTCATTCCAGGGATATTATTCATATATGGCGTAGAGATGTGGTTAGTTACCTACCTTATTCCATCACTAAACCTTCTGTCTGTCTGTCTGGATTCAACATAGAACTTGGCACCGAAGTGCAGCAGTTCGAGTTGCCACGTTCCAAATAGCACACAGAGGTAGACAAGAAGATGAGTGGAGAGAATCAATAGAGTTTGACAAGTATGAGAGTGAAACAGAATGGGTAATGGTAGGAAGGAATATGAAAGATTACAGAGACTGAATACATCTGCGCTGGCCATTGACAACGATTTTGAGCCATGTCACCTATTGTCTCCAGCCATTGATTCCTAGAGTCCCGAGGACCCCAACCCGGGAGTCTGCATCTCTCTACCTGACTCAGTTTAACTGTCAAGGATTTCATGGATTGATGAGGCCATGTTTTTGTTTGGCCACCACTGGCTCTTTTCCAACCTGAACCTATGTCAGCTAGCAATGCCCGTCGGGGGAGGCGGTGGTTAGGCATGCGCACCACGTGACCTAGCCATCTTAGTCTATGTAACTTTATAGCCTCGTCGATTGATTTTCCCTCTTTGCCCAACACTCTACGCCTAACGTCAACATTACTTATCTTGTGAAACCACCTAACGTGAGACAGGGATCGCAGATATCTACGATCGAAAGCAGTCAACCTTTTCATGTCTTCAACGCGTATTGGCCATGTTTCAGAGCCATAGATAAGGACGGAGCGAACTGATGAGCACTAAACCTTCAACCAAAAGGGGATCCGAGTTTGAAAGCCATATTCTAGGCTAATTCGGCTCCTGGAAAAATAGGTAAGCAGTTGACTTGTAGCTCATAGCCTGGTATAATATATATATAAAAGCCTGTTCCGAGTAAATTAAGTCCTCGTAAACAAATAGACAAACATTCTCCACACAAGATTAATTATAATAATAATTTGCTTTATTCCAAAACAGTACTTGTGATACAGAATGGAATTCTCAGCATTTCATCACAGTATTGCATCCAGTTAGTACATTAACAATAAATAAAATTCTACATAGATTATGGGTAATCTCTGTTAGTTTTGACAACAACACATTGGCATGTGGGTAGCAAGCCAAAATTGAACAGAGTGTTTAAAAGTGTTAGAAAAGTAGATACTAACTGGCATATTTACTGGCGTAAGCGGTAACAAAAAGGTCGAGATATACAGAGTGTGAAAGAACGAAGACGAATGTTTTAAGTTGAGTTTGTAAGGAAGAGAGAAACAAAACAGCAGATAACGAAAAAGGGAGAAGAGGAAAAGAAAGAAAGAAAACGTTGTACCTAAAAATGATATGAGTCGGAAAGATGAGATCAGATTGTTCTACTGACTATTTAATAAGTTTTAAGTTTCACGCCTAATACTTTCTTTATCGCACAGAACACGAGCTAAGTAGGGTATGGTTGAGTTTTTGTACTTGCTAGTGCGAGCATATAGTTTTCTATATAGGCTTCTGGTTCTACCTGATGAGATACAAGGGGAGAGTTGTGAGTGAAGAAGGTGGTGTAAGTTAGACAGATAGAATGAATTTAGACCATTTTTCACATGAGTCCAAGTGCCTGTCGACCAGAATATTAAGAAGCTGGTTGGTTAAGTGGCACGTTGCTTACCCTGCTGACAACCTTTACCATCCTGCGTAATAAGGTATTGTCTTTCTTCAGTAGCCCTGGAAAAACTAAGGGGGAACAATAGAGAATAATAGGCAGGATGCACGAGTTAACGAATCGTAGGCGTAAGGGTTAGGTTGGGTTATTCCAGAATATCTTAACTTCTTGATGTAGAAGGTAAGACGGAATATTTTCTTAGAAATCATCAAGAATTGAGACGACCAGGAAAGATCAGCAGGTAGAATGACGTCTAGATACTTAATTTCCAACTTGGTTTCCATTTCAGTGCCATCTATGTTGCACACCTCGTGAGTGCTAACCAGTTTGTTTAGGTCAGATTTATGCCTAAAGGTGAAAGTGATTGTTTGGCATTTAGAGGGATTTACGGTTAGACGGTTTTCCTTGGACCACTGGCTGATTTCTGATAAAAAAACCATTTAGTTTGGAGCAGTCACTTTGACATTTGACAGGCAAAGATACTGTCAGATCGTTAGCATAATTAACAAAATTAATGTTATTTGAAGATGGTAAGTCATGTAGAAAGAAATAAAGAAAGAAAAGAGAAGTGGGAAGAGTAGTACAGCACATTGGGGGACACCAACTTCAGTGAGCACAGCAAAGGAGGATTTGCCATCGTATACAGTGTATTGCATTGTGTTTGAGAAGTAGGAATGCAACCAGTTTTTGTCATCGAGAGCTTATTTAGCAAGAGACATCTAGGTACAGATTCGAAAGCAGAAGTGAAGTCGAGCAACGTACAGCGAATGTATCTGACACCTTTATCTAATGATAAG